TGCTGACTGCCTATAGCTTGGGCCTCACTGGTTGTGACTACCGGACATTCTATATGCACCTAGTTTGCTCTTTTCACATGGTTTCAGGTCATTGGTTCTACCCTGACTTAGGTCCAGCCCTTGGATCCATTAATTTGCCTTGCCAAACCTTAGCTCTTCAACCTTCATCTACTACCTAGGACTGAAAATGACATGATTCTTAATAGTCATTTTCAAATGATCATCAACTCTATTTGATCAAAAGTATATCATTTAGTAAATTACTGATCCATTGACCTTAGGTAATTCCCTTTGCTTCCTTTTGTTTTCCTTATCCATAAAAAGTGATGGCAAAATGATGTAATAAATGAGAGAGGTTTTTACTTTTTCAATTTACCTCAAAAATAGCCATTTCAATTCTTTATATTTTTAGTGCAGAGTGGTTTTTAAAAGCTTGTAAAATGACTCTGGATTTTTAAGAACTCTTCTTTGCCTTTCTTTTCCCAATCCTCCCTGTACCCTAAATACTGCTTTAGAACAATTAGATTTTTTTTTGCTATCTTCTTTTATAACACAGATACAAAGCATGTATCTGGGTGCTTCTTCAGTTACATTTTGCTTAGTTGGGCAAAGATATTCTCAATGTTATCTCCCTTGATTTGACCTGAGGACTACTGGTCCCTTCAACTCCTCAGATCTTTTAGTTCCTGTAAGGATAAATGAGATTTCAGATCAAATTATGGGTGTCTGGTTGATATATTAGTGTGGATTAGGAGGTGAATGCTTGCAGATGATACTGATTTGAGCCATTCTGGGATGGCCCACACATCATAGTGCTAAATAAGTAACTAATCCCTTTCTAGACAACTTCTCTGGACTACTACTAAACACTCTTATAACCAAATAAGTCACTTTGTGGATCATCTTGAAGCATATAACAGGAGAGTTATTTCCTAGGGTATACCCACTCCAGCAAGTTCACGGATGATCTTTAGGAAATTCATGGACTCCTCCCACAATAAATATCATGCAAATTTGTATGTGTGTGTGTTTCTGGAGAAAGGATCCTTGGCTGTTTCATATTAGCAAAAGTATCCCCAATCCCCCAAGTGATTGAGAACCACTTTAAAATTAATGAAGGGCAATTTAACCTTGACAAAGCAGTATATTTTTTTCCCATATAAATAGAGTTCAAGCTGTTTCCAGAAGTCAATCAATATAAACATCTAGGTCCCATAGATATCTGGTAAAATGCTACAAATAAATTTCAACATGGAATTAGAGAAACAAGAATCAATTTCATTTTGCCCTCAAGAGAGACATTTATAAGTGGACTTGTTCCTGGATGTATACCAATGTTTTTTTAGCAGTTTTCTATTGTACAACTGCTAAATTAGAATAACTGAGGCTCTGGTCTCTCACTTCACCCTGGCATCAATAACATGACGAAAAGGAAAAAACATTTAGAGCCATATCAGGAATATAGCTGTTGACATGTCAGAAATAGAACTTCACTCTGCAGAAGCTGATCACTCATATTCATAGCTCTAGTTTTCCTAGATCCAATCACAATCCCCACCCTCACCCCATCTCTATCTCACTATTTTGCATTTTTTGTCTGTGACTGCTGTACTAGACTATGAATATTTTGAGGACAGAAGTCACGTTTTAATAAATTCTATGTGGCTGACATAATAGGACCTAACCAATGTTTGCAGAATGAAATTGCCTCCATTATCCCCCTTTATACTTACAGCTTAATACATTGGATCTCAACCTTTATCATACATAAGAATTCCCCAGAGGGCTTGCTAAAACACTGGTTGTTGGGCCCTACTCTCAGATTTGTGAATCTGTAGGTAGGGCCTCCAAATTTGCATTTCTAACAAGTTCCCAGGTGATGTTGATACTGTTGGTCCAGGGAAGACATGTTTAGTTTAAGTAGAAACAAACAGGAATATAAGTAATGCATCACATCTCAAAAACCACAGTGGAGCTCAGAAATCACTTTCATTTTGGAAATTTGCTACATGAACAACTTTAATTAATTAATACATTTTCTATAAAATGAGATACCTTAATAAGTACAAAAATACAAAGTAGAAAATTAGTATTCTGCAGAAGTTGTTTACAAAATCATTAAAGCAGAGGAAGAAATGTTAATGATTCTGAGGGGTTTTCCACCAAAGGTTTGTGCCAGAGTATATTTTTCTCTTGATTCAACTCTAACTTGGCACACAGTAAGGCGAGTGAAGTTACTTCAAATGGCATCTTTTTAACTAACCAAAATACTAAGAATAAGACTGTCATGGATAATTGAAATCAATTGAGAACCTATAAATTTAACATTGCATTTTCATTTTCATTTTAAAATTATGTCCTTCATGCTTTGACTCAAGGTGGTTTAAAAGGACCACACTTAATTTTAAATTTCTTATCAATTTTTGGTGCCCAACTTTGATTGGAGATGTCAGTAAGCTATAAAACACCTAAAAGTTGGACAGCAAAAAAGTGAAAGAGAAATAAAGAGCCTCAATAATCTTCAAACAAAGCACTGAGCGTCTGATTAATAAAAATCAGCTCTACCAGAGAAATTAACCTAATTTCAAGTAGCTTGGAAGTTAATTTTTTTAAGCATAGCGAGTCATATTGTTTAGAGCTGTGTTCCGGGCTTATGTAGGCAGGTTTCACATATATCAATAAATGGTTGCCTTGGTTAAAATGAACTGGAAAATGAATTATGTATTGATGGGAAAAGTTTAAACAGGAAAAGTGAAAGTTGAAAGCACTTTCTTTGGTGTATGCAGCCCTATACTGACCCAAAATGCACTGTGAAAAAGTTTTATTTAGATTTTACCTACAGAAGAATAGGAGAGCAATAAATTCTTTGTCTTTTATTAGCGGTGTCCCAACCTAGAACTTTCCTCCCATTCAGCTCCACCAAACCAAATCCTAAAAGACCAAACCCACTTCTAACTTTAATGCATTTTCCTGACTGATTCCTATTTGACATGATCCAAAAATTAGTAAAGCCCATGCTGTTATGAATTTTAGCAGTCTCTCAATATAGATAAGCCTTCATTCCTGATTGATGGTTATTATGCTTGAACATTCATAATGATTGAGGCCTTTTGACTATACAAGGCAGTCTCTATCATTTTTGAACACTTGAATGTTAAACTGAAACTTGTGTCCCTGTCAGTTCTCTTTTGTGGCCTTGGTTTTGCCTTTTGGAAATCCACACAAGTCATATCCGTCTTTGCCCCAGTAGTCTTTTAAATATTTGAAGATAGTTATCTTTTCTCCAGGTCTTTCCTTCTTTAAACTAAGCGTTCTCAGCTTTTAGAGCCTTGCCTCATATCATATATTTCTCAGGTGCCTCATCATTACTGGTTTGTCTTCTCTAGATGCAGCCAATTGTGAATGTTTCTTTTAAACTAAGGGACAATCAACTGAACAGAACAGATATGGTCTGATCAGGGTAGAGGATAGAAGGACTCTAACTTTCTTGCTTTAGATGCTAACTTTTTCTTAATGTAGCTTAAGTTTCAATTATTTTTCTTAACAGCTATGGTATGCCAGTTAATATTGAATTTCCAAAATTTTCAAATAAAATTTTCCCACCTTATGTATTTGTTGCCCATCTTGTACTTGCGCAACTGATTTTTGTACACCTAAAATTAAGACCACTGTTTAGCCTTGTCAAACTTGATCTTGTTGCATTTGAATGTTGAGTCTTTTGAGATCTTTGAAATCTTGGTTAATATTTCTGCTTTAATTATTCCTCTCAGATTGTTTTCACCTACAAATTCAATAAACATGGCTTTAATTCATATATTATGAACAGGACAGGTACAGATATCTAAGACATTTTACTAGAAACATATCTTATTTCTGAATATCTATTATTCTAGCCTACACCACACAATCTATGCTTTCTTACATCCATTGATTCAACAAAGGCTCATTGAGTGCCTACTACATGCCAGGTACAGTTCTAGGTACTGAAGATATAACAGTAAATAGAGTTGAAATTCCTACCCCCTTGGGGAAAAGCAAACTAAACAAGTAAGCAAATTATGTGATTTCCCATAATGATGTGAGAAAAATAAAGCACAGCAAGCACGTAGAGGAGAGAGCGAGCGATTGGAGATGATGTTTTAAATATATTAGCCCATGAAGACTCATCTGAGGAGGTAAATTTTAGCAGACAACCTGAGTGAAGAAGTATGATCTGTGATGATCTGGGGGAAGAGTTTTCCAAGAAAGCATAGCAGATGCAATGTCTCTGAAGAGGGGACAGGTTTTCCAGAAAAAAAAGAGAGAGAAGAAAAGAAAGGCCAGTATAGTATAGTGAAGCAGGGCAGAAACAAGTGGTGGGAAATAAGCCGTAACAAAGATTTGAAGCTTTACAGAAATTACTCAAGTAGCTTCTGGCAGAAGAGGGATTGAGGTTAGGTGAACAGAACCCATAATTTTAATTTCTTGCCTTAGTCACCAGAGTCAACTGGTCACATAAAACAGTGCACTCACTCTTATTGACAAATTCCAAAGGCTGGATGGACACCTTCTTGACTTTAGTAACACTGAGCATATACCTGACAATTGAACACTGATCCCAAAGACTATATTTCTATATGTGATCATTTGATTTTGGCAGTGTGCAACAATTCTGCTGAAAGCGAATCTCAAGTTGGAAGACCAGGCAACACCTGCTCAAATGGTTGGCATATAAGTACTATAGTCACAGGGATTCTGGGCGTTCACAGCTATTCAGGAAGGGAGAGGTACAGAAAGGCCTGGCCTTGGACGCAGCTGATAACGTGCGAAGAAGAGACAGCCCCACTGCAGGCAGCTATCTCTCTTCTCCCCTCCCCACTCTTGGGTTTCTGGGCTGAGGCCAGGGACTGTCCGGAGCTGATCTCGGGCTCCCATTGGCCGCTGTCTTTTGTGACGTCACGATCATGATGAGAATTGATGATCGGACACGTTGATTTCATTGTCTGAGAAGGCAGTGGAGACCCAGGAAAAATCTCGCTGAATCTGCCTGCCCCAGCACTGGTCTGATCTGGTATCCTCAGATCCCTCCCGTCACCGCACCACGCCCGAGGTAAGCACCCAGACTGGGTGGATGTGAAGGGCGAAGGAGGGCGAGCAAGGCACCGAGCTAATGCTCTGCCCAGTGGGGGGCCCGTAGGTTCAGAGGCCTAAAGAGGCTGCCAACAAACTGGTGCGGCTTTTGGGGAGCCAACTGCCTCTACCCTCCGAGCGAAAGCTGGCGGCAGCGTGAGGTTAGAAACGAGCTGAGTATAAGGATACAGCGTGCATTGCCAGAGAGCGAAAGACCTTGCAGAGAGAAGGCGACGTTTGAGACGCGCTTCTGGCCCCGGAGTAGGAAGAAGTGGCGCCTCTGCCACCGAAGAAAGGAAGGGGGGCCTGAATTCTACCACTTCTAGATTTCACTGGACAGTAGATTTCTCACAGCCTTACTCAAAAGCACTGAGGGTGCTGCTGCGCCTGCGCTTTAACAACTTGGCCGGGGTGGAGGGGAGCGGTTCACGAAGAGGAGAATAGGCGTGGAGTTTGCGCAGGCGCTTTTTCCGTTTCGCTGGAGGAGGTGGGGCTGAGCTCTGTTTGGGCAGAATATGGAAAGGGTTGGGGAGTTGGCCCTGTGATGTTTCGAGCGCCAGTTGATAGAGAGGGATCTGTCAGTTACTTTGAATGTGGCCTGATGAACTTATGGCGGCAAATTCTTAATCTACAGATATCAGGTTTGGAATAATGGAAAGAACTCAGAGAGGTATTTGTAGAATAGAAATTGGAAGAAAAAAATTTGAAGGAAAAAACACTAATTATTCACATGAAACCAACTTTTAATCTTCAAGGAACTCTGATTTGGGGTGCCACTCAGTGATTTTGAAACAAACTCTTTGGAGAGACTCAGAGTGAGGTGCATTGTGGAGACTCAGAGTAAGCAATTTTCCTTTCTTGTCTTTTTTTCTTTCTTGGTACAGTCTCATAAAGCCTTGATCTCCATTTCGGGTTTAGTGTTAAGTCCTTCTTCCTTCTTCCTCTGTGTTTCTGCTAGAACCACCAAAGTCAAATCCTATTTTGAGAGACCCTTTCCAACTCTCCTTCTTTTTTTGGGGGGGGGGCTATATTACTCAGAAACTGCGAGGAACTACCTGCCTGTCTGTCTTTGGTGGAGAAATTGTATAGTAGTGTTGTTAATCCTACCCCACTGTCTGATCATGAACTCTTGACTATTTCACAGAGGAATCTGGATTTTTCTCCATTTCTCATATTTAAGGGGTTATCAAGTCCTGGTGAATTTTCCTTTGGAAGCCCTCTCCTACCATTCTTCCCTTAATCTACAATCTAAACTCTCATCACCACCTATCTAGTCACTCCAGTAGCCTCCTAGCCAGCCTTTACCTGTGTGCCAAATCCCTAATTCATCCTGTCAGGCTAATGGTCCATTAACACCTCTTTCATCTTGTTATTTTTCTTCACCAAAATATTCTTGGCTCCCTATTTTTTATTGCTCTAATCCCAATTCCACTTGGATTGCAAAGAGCTTCATAATCTGGCTTCATTGTACCACAAGAACTTTATTTTACTTTATTCTTCAGTGCACAACTCTCCTTAATGTCCCCTGAACAGTCTACCTCCAGAACGTTGCTCCTTGCGCCACTACCACTCCCTTCACCTAGGATACTTTCTCTTCTGCCTATTCATATCTTACCCACTATGGAAGCTCAACTCAAGTTACACCTCTCCATAAGTGCCTTCCAAGTCTAACCTAACCCTTATTAAGCTCACTTTTTCTAGAACTCTTACATCAGTTCTTATATTTGTCACTTTCTTATAGCCTGCTTTATATTGTCTTCTTATTTTTTTTTGTGTGTGTGTATGTGTTAGACTCCTCAACTGGATTTTAAAGCCCTTCTTAAGAGTTAGGACCATGCCATCTACTTCTTTATCCTCTGTCCACAGCAACTGGATGACTATTTGAAATATCTATAGCTGTATACAGTCTTTGTTTCTCAATTTCTTGGGAAAGAAAGTAATATTGTTATAGAGAGAACTGTATATATGTGAAAACTTATTCATTGTTGGTCAGGCAAGGGACCCTCCAGACACTGAATAAACCTGAGTTTGAATTAGAGAAAAAGCAATACGGACACCTCTACATAGTGGGTGGCCTCCAAATATATTTTATCCCCATAAACAAGACCAAGGGAACATTTTTCCAGAAGTGGTTCTGTCTGTAATTTTCTCAGTTTGAAAAATACTAAGACATTTTCCATTTTTCTATATTTCTCTTTGATGACATTGCGTTATGTATCTTCTCTTACAATCTACTAATTGTTCACTTTTTTATTGCAATGTATCTTGAAATTGCTGCTTTAATTATTCACTTTTTATCTCAACATACCTTGCAATTGCTGCTTTATGTTAACTACCACTTACACTTTTCGTTTGTGCATCTCTCGAATCAGAGCTAATCATTGTGATGGTTGCCATAATTGCTATTATATAGCATATCAGTTGTCACTTTTCTGCTCCTTGGGCTTTAAACTGCATTGTTCCATGGAGCTCAGTTTTATTTGAAAGAAAGTGTGATTGTGGTTTAATATAGAGGCTTTTAAAAGATTTCATTTGGCTTCTGCTTCACTTTGAGGGACCATCTCAATATCACATCAAGGTTTGCGGTTTAGGAGGATGGATGAGAAGCAGTCCAGAAGGGTATTATAATCTGTAAATTTGAAAATTATTGTCACAGATTATTGTAAGTGAGCTATGAATGTTATTTACTGTATGGGAAAAATCCTCTTGACTTTTTCTCTTACTACCTACATTATGTGAATCCCCTCAAAGTGTTTTAGCTTGTAGCAAACTGGCATAGTAATTAATAAGATTTACCTGGACATTTACATGTAGATCAATAGACAAAACTGTTCAAAGGTAGGATGCTCTAGATAGAATGTATTGCTTAGGAATATGGTGCTCATTTTAGAGAACTTAAAATAAAATATGAAAAAATAAAAGTGTAGCATTTGTGTTTTAAAGTTTATTTTAAAATTCTTATCTGAATGAGAGGATAGCATTGGACTTTCTCATTTAAGTTTTCAGTTTGAGCTGGAAGTGATTTTCTAACGACAAGCCAATCCCCCTATTTTACATATCGGGAAGCTGAAGCCCAGAAAAGTGAAGTGCCTTATCAGCATTAATAAATGCTAATATTTATTAAGCATTTAGTGCCAGGCATTGTGATATCAACTTTACATATGTTATCACATTTAAACCTCACAACATCCTTATTAGATAGTTTCTAGTATTTTTTCCCGTTTTACAAATAAGAAAACAGAGGCTCAAATTAGTTGACTTTCCCAGGGCCACACAGCTACAAAAGGTCACAGTCAGGAATGCAAACATAGGTCTGTTTGACTCTTAATCACCAAGCTATACTTGACTAAGGTAATATGCAATGAATTTTTGGCAGAGCTTTAGCGAGGATCTAAATCTCTGGAGTCCTAGCCCAATGGGTGTGTGTATGTGTGTGCGCATGCGTGTGTGTGTTTTATACCATAATGATGTTTTCCATGAACACCATACTACTCCTACAAAATCAGTGATTTCTAAGCTTGACCATATGGTGTATACTTACATTTCTTTTTAGGTATTTTATTATAACACACTCTTTCAGTCTTAGTTGAAAAAGATGGCATGAAATCTTGTATAAAATATATTTTAAAAAAATATAATTAATTTTGCTTTGAAAATTGTATTGTACTCCCAGAGGGGATTATATTTTTGTGTAGTGTAATCCCCAACTAGATAAAAATATTTGAATTGTTGATTTTTATTTTACAGTGGAATCAGCTAAACATGAAATTGATGGTGTCTTAATATACTTGCTTTGAGTACACTATATCTAGGCATATTGGTTTGGAAGTAAACAGCGAAAGTTCTAGAGAGAGATATTCTGCATAAGAAGGGAGCTGGAGAGGTTAGTATATTCAGAAGCTGTCACTCACATCCTGAGATCTTTCCAGTCTGCATAAAATTTCAAGACAATAAACTGAAACCTGTCTGTGCAAATGGAGTCATCCTTGTGCCAACTAGTAACAAAACTGTCTGGATTGACAAAAGATCTAGGTACATGGCAAGTGAATAAATAAGATTATAATATTGTATCAATTAAATGCTATGCTTTACATCTGTCGCCTGTAAAGAAATCTACAACAGCAGCTTCTCTACCTTCTTAGTCTCCTATTGTTTTATAACTAGACTAATGTCCAATAGGTTGATCCTTACACTCTTTAAACATGTTATTTGTCAGAGCGGAAAAAATTCAGGAAAACATTTTCTTAGCCTCTCTTCCTTTGGAGTTGGAGGCAATTTGTTTTAAGGTTCTTAAAACAGCCATGCAAACGTGTGACTTACATGCCCTGGGTAGATACTTTTCTCATGTAGACAAGCATTTGTGAATGGTGCTTGCCCAAGGTCATACAAGTAGTAAGTTGCAGAGCCAGCACTTTAAAACAAGTGTCATTCTAGAGGCTGCACTCTTAACTCCTAGGTTATAGATCGGAGAGCCGGAGTGAGGCTTATCTTTATTTATTGTTTTTAAAAATTGTATGTGTGTGTGAGTGTGTATAATTTTCCCCTAACTTCTTTCTCTTTCTGAGTGTCTAATGCCTATGACATTTTGCTTTTTCTCTCAGTGGAGATGAAAATTTTTTTTTTAATTTTTTGTTTATTACAGTAACATTGGTTTATGACATTGTAAAAATTTCAGGTGTACATCATTGTACTTCTATTTCTGCATAGATTACATCATGTTCACCACCAAAATACTAATTACAACCCATCACCACACACATGTACCAAATTATCCCTTTCACCCTCCTCCCTCCCCCCTTCCCCTCTGGTAACCACCAATCCAATCTCTGTCCCTATGTGTTTGTTTATTGTTGTTATTATCTACTACTTAATGAAGGAAATCATACGGTATTTGACCTTCTCCCTCTGACTTATTTCACTTTGCATTATACCCTCAATGTCCATCCATGTTGTCACAAATGGCTGAATTTCATCGTTTCT